GTTGTGAAATTGATGATTGTAGAGATTTAGGAAAAAATTGAATAGGCATGAAATGTGGGTGTATTTGAGAGATGAGGCATGTGAATTTATGTTTGGTATTATTAATTTGGAAGATGGTGAACTTAATGGATTTACTAATTTGATGAATTAAATTAGTTTGGTTAATAGTTAAAATCTTTCATAATTAAAGGGGTGTTATTGGGTTTAAATTCCTAATTGTTAATATTATGAGATTAAAAGTAATGATGTTGACCAAGAATGAGATTTGGGGAAATAAGAGAGATTAAGTTGATGTGATATGGTATTTGGTCCATAGTTTTACTAGTTGAGTTATGTTATCATAATAATACTTAAAATTTCTATATAAGATATTCGAATTGTTTTGGCGGATTTTGACAATAAAATAAAAGAGTATGATTTTTGCTCGTTTGGAGCAAATGCATAATTTGAATTAAAACAAGAATAAGTTATCAAAACTTTTATTTATTTATTTATTTTTCCTTGGTTTAATTTGATGAGATTGATGTTGATAATCGGAAAGTGAACACTCACGTTATATTTTATATTTATAGTCAAAAAAAGATTTTGATATAATTGATTAAATATTAGAATATTCACTTATGCTTATTGAGATTTATGATTGAACTTGAAGATCTCGAGATTTCACTTGCATGAGAAAAATGAGAATTTGATTCTATTTAATGTTTGGAATGGGGATGAGTTTTGAAAAGATTGTAATTACATTTCATTGATAAAGTATGTGAGTTAGAAGTCGATGAAAACTTGAACCCACTCTGGTGTCATATGTTATTGCTATTGATGAACCTATTGCTTAAAAGTTTTAGTTTTGATAACTGGTAGGGGATTGCCATGTTGGTATTTAAATGAGGAGATTTTTGGAAAGGTAAGAAAATGTTTGACTTTGGAAGTTTGTTTTATATAAGGAATATTGCTGAATTGTCTTGAAAAGACTAAGTTGGAAGTTGTTGATTTACATATGGTAAATACATGAACATTGACATTGTTATATTATCTCTTGGGATTGTATCATGATATTACATTGATAGGGATATGGAAATTGATCACAATGGAGAATTGTGTGAATGAAATTGGAAATGGAATCATATGAAGGATTGTACATTTTGCATTATCATTTTATCGAACCACTATTGAAATTGATTTTTAATCTTGCATTGGAAGGTTATGGTTTTAAAAGAGAAATTGTTTTGTGAAACAAGATCTATTGTTTTGTTTTTGGTAAATACGTGGGAAAGCCTGGATAGGGGGTGTAGTTGGTATTGGTTAAGTTGGCCTGAGTGTCCATGGTGAAAAACCAGAAACCTGCGCGGATAGGTGTTGAGTCTTCCGGTTAATACCAGTAAAAATGGCAATTTGGTAGTACTTGTATAGTCTACTTGCTGACACCAGCCTAGAGATTACCTGAGTCATATTTACCATCTTGGAATTTTATTAAAATTGTTGGATTAATGTGTTTTCAAATTGGCATTGTGCGTAATATTTTCAAAAGATGAGAAAAATATTTTGAGCATGACATGGCATATGCATTCTTTTCATAAGACTGTATAAAATGGATTTGATGAATTGTTTAATTATTTAATTCAATTGATGATGAGATAATTGAATGAATTGAAAATGATGTCTTGTTGCTATTGAAATATATTTATTTATTTAAGTTAACTTGTTGTGGTTAATTAAATAAATTGGATTTAAGAGATTATGTAATAAAATCATATGGTTTTGACATGATATGGTTACACGTATATGTATGAGTATTTTGGTACCTGTAGACGTCCCCGAACGTCCCAGGAGGGAAAATCCCATTCTGTTCATTTGGGCCCACTACAGTTCGGACTCTCAAATTGTCACGGTTCTAAATCTGAACCAAAGAGTCTAAATTCGGCAAATCGTTTTAAGAAAACAGATTTTTAGAAAGAAGTGCCAAATATGGACTGCTTTGCCAGATACAGAGTCGCCACCTAAATATTTTTTATGGGGGAATTTAGGAAACCCTGACTCGTTTGCCTAAGGCCACGTGTCCGTCATCACCAAAGTTGCCTCGGCTCGGGAACTTGGGTACGATTGAGGAAGGTCAATTATGAGCACCCCCGCTCGCCCGATCCGAAGATCGGCCTCTACTAACCATGATATCTTGTTTTGAAAACATTACGCATTCTTATTCCGGTTATTAGCCTAGATTTACTATGTGATGCGCGCAGCATACAAGTATAGACTGAATCGCCTGAATTGGAATAAAAACATTTCATGTTTGTTTTTGAAAGCGGTTTGCTACTCATAAGTAGGCTAAAAAATGCAGGTTTTACCACCTTCAGGTGGGCTTAGAAAAGATGGTTTTGCCACTATCTAGTGGGCTTAAAACTCACAGTCAATGCATTATTCCAATTCAGATAATCTAACCTTCACCCACAGGCATTCAGGCAGATATATCATATAAGCACATAGCTTCATGGTAAAGCATGCTATCATGGCAACACTCACACGCATGCAAGGATGCTAAAGCATAAAAGCTTACCGAGTACTCCGAGCCAAAACAAGAAACTAGTTAGTAATCATGCATGATCCTAGTTCATGTTAGAATGGCTAATGTAACACATGCAAAATGCAACTAGAAATAGGCTCGGCTATTCTAAGAATGATATGTTACAGCTAACATGTATTCAATTTAGAATTGAAATACAAATGCAGTTAGTATGATGTGCCGAGCCCGGTGCATACAAAGCAGATGAATGAATGCAAACATGCGAACATAAGTATGCTAATTTAAACATGCCCTAATCTAACCATTATAAGCTAGTAAATAAAAGGGAGAAAGACGTGGGGTTGGAAGACATGCATACACTCACGCACACTTATTACACAATTGCCCTCGCTCGGAGGGTCCGAATAAATAATACAGATTTAACTAATTAACTAGCCGACTAACTAATTAATTAATTACAAAACTTCTAATTAATCAACAAATTAATTACAGAAATAGTCTAAATATGAAACTAAAGAGACCGCCACAGCTCTACCTCGGAATGCGTAGATGATGCATGCTTGACTCGCCTTGCTCGGAAACCCGGTACCATGCCACTGTTGCCTCTGTTTACACGGCCTTGCTCCTCTGAAAATTATGAAAGTTTCCAGAACTGCTTTGAGCTTCCTTCTGGGTGCTGTGGAGTGCCACCGGCCAGGACAAAAGGCCACCGGCCATGGGAATGGGATTATCGGCCAAAGCTTGTGTCATCGGCTGGACATTGATGGTCGATCGGCACTGGAGATGGCCGACCGGCTATTTCTTTCTGCAGAATCTTGCAGTTGACAGCAGCAGAGGGCAAGCAGTGTATGGCATGGAATTTTCAAGCAAATGTGAGCATGGCCATACTCCCTATCATGCAATGGACTCAAGGGAGCGTGGCTCTTGACCCTCGGGCCATCAATTATGCGCTTTGATGCATGATGGCCTAAGAGGCCAAATTTGCCGTTCAATGTAAATGCATGTGACAAAACACATGAATGCCAACAACCTATCCTGTTGAGATCAAGGGGATCGGCGACCGAGGAGTGAGGCGCGCTACATCACTTCAAGTATGAACGCATCCCATTCCTCAGATTTAGTTTGACACCCCAAACCAAACCTAATGCAATGCATGTATGTCATATATAATGCAAAATGATGCAACTTAATGCAATGTAATATGAGCATGCTAGCCTAATACCGTGCAATACTACCAAGACACGCAAGCTAATCTAATGTCACATTAGTATGCCAAGTATGCAACAAGGTCGTGTGATGCCATTAGCTAAACAATATGCAAAATGCAAACAAGATATAATGCAAGCCTGCAACTAATGTAATGCAACATACATCATGCCAAGTATACAATTATGCACAAGGGTGGTCTTAAACTGAAATGGGAAGCCTCATCCATGCCCAAAAACAGTGGCCAAAATGATACAACAAGAGCACAAATCACATATGCAAGCATGCATGTCCCAAGGCCCATCACCTAAGGCATGAAGAAGGCAACTCTAAGCATCCATAAAAGAGACAAACATGGGCATTAGACCAACAAAAATGAAAGCTATGGTATGTTAGAATAAGCCCCAAAACCCACATAAATGGCATCCCAAATGACTTAAACAAAGAGACATACACCAAAGCCCAAACATGGAGCATAAGACCACAACTCTTCAAGGCATTAAAAGGGTAACAAATGCAAACATGTAGGCATAAAACATGAACTGAAATGGTATGACGAATGATTCCAAATCACTGAAATAGACCAAATGAGGCATGCTAACGACTCACACACCCAAAGCCAACAAGCTAGAATACAAAGAGGCTATATAAAGCATGGCAAGCATGGCTCCAAAGACTCAAGACAGACCTTAAGCATGTTAAAACATGACCAAAAGCTTCACAAAGCTAAGCCAAAATATGCAAGCATGATGGTCTAATAGCAAGATGCATTTCTAGGCAAAATGGAGGAATACAAGGCAAGTATATTATGCATGCAAGGGGTCAACAAACCAACATGGGACAGAGGTAATACATGCCAAATGAACACCAAATAACCTCTGAAATAAAGTCAAACAAGGCTAGGCATGCATGCTACCATATTAAGCCAAAAACACAAGAAAAAGAGAGACAAAGGGAGAGGGGTGTCCCTCCCCTATGCAAGACCTCAAAACCTCTTCTTCGAGAAGGCCAATGCACAAAAGATTCCAAAGCTCAACAAAAAAGGCACAAAAAGGGCCAAACAAGGCCTGAGAGGGGGAGGTCGACCCCCAACACCAAAATACCCTTAATGAAACATCTTAAGCATTCAAATACAAGACTTTTTTCAGTTATACACAAAAGCTTAAATCAGCTTGCAAGTATGGCTAAGATATGGATCAAAATAAAGCCTTAAAAGGGAGATGAAGCATACAAGGGGGTAGATGACCTCTAACAGAAAAATGTCCTTAAACAAACTTTAAGAGTGCCCAGAAGCTTCGAAAGCTAACGCCATCTGGGTGAGTTGAGCGTCGGAGAATTGTGCCATGCTACCGAAACAAACGTAGAGGACTGAGTTGGGCTTTTGAGTGTCGAGCCAACTCAAACAACTGTGTTTCTCTTCAGTACTGGAGTTGTTTTCTTTGCCAACATTGTTTCTGTCGGCAAAGAGAGATAGAGGGCCCAAGTTCCAACATTTTCTCCCGGACACCTTCTTGAAGTGATCCGAATAAGCAGGCTCGATATCATGGCAAGTGTTGAGAATGATACCGTAGCTGCGACTCTCTGTTTGTTTGATTAAGTTAATCAAAACTCCGTACATGGTTTTGGCCTTGACATGGTCCTGTAATTCAGACCTCGCCATGCGAATCTCATCGGGAAGACCCGGAATCAAGAAATCCTCCGAGTCAGACTGTATCTCCTGGTGAGGAGCATAAAGTCTCAAGCTATGCGAAACGGAGTGAAAGAAATTATTGGAAGGGTAGAAGATGACCCTGGGAACTTGAAGCTCGTCAGCGAGGTCGACACTCCAAGGAAAGAACATGTCGGAGATGATGCAGTCAGGCCGACTATCGCGAATGAACTTTTCGTACGGTTTCTGCAGCAATGCGACAGCGTTGTAGAGTTTTTCCAAAAGTTCTGGGGTAGTACACTGGCCGAAGTTTTCGATACCTTCAGGAAGGCCGACTTGGGCCGAGGGTAATTTGATAATGTGAATCAACATATTGTGGCCCAAGGCGGCGTCGTGGTTGACGGAGTCTCGGAAGAGAAGGGCATTGTTTGGGGTGGTGACGATGGTGACGGTGACGCCGCGGCCAGCGAATAGCCGGGCAACGTCAACAATTGGGATGATATGGCTTGGAGCGAAATGTGGGAGGAATATGGCATTGAGCTTACGATCTTCCATTGCCACTGAGCTTAGAAATATGTACGACAAAAGTATTTTAAAGAATTTGCCGAATAATGCAACTCAGTTGTAGGGGTGACAGATAATGATAGGCGTCTGAGGTTTAAGTAGAAAGTAACTCAATCTAGATCACCAATGCAATAACAAACATACTTATTGGACATGCTCAAGATTATTGACCCCACGTGTATTGTGCCACGCCATCCGCATTGGGTTCAAAAAGTTATTTAATTTTATAATGGAGATTAAGGGCTGATTTGGCAATTTATAAAAAAGTTAAAATATCAAAAAGTTACAAAAAAAAATTAAAAAAATAAAAAAAAATTTATAAAGTTATAACTATTCATAAAAAAATAAATAAATAAATTATTTTTTTACAAATTGTGAGACAACTCACTTTGACAAAATGCGTCTTTGCTTGACTTTGGTGAAGATAAATTACACAGGCGGATGCAAGCTTAAGGACTGTGTTGTTCGGCTCGTGAGGGCCATCACGGGTCCCGTTTTGATAATCTAAACCGTTCAATGTGTAGAACTCGTTGAGTACCATATGCTTATAAAAAAATCACGTAGGTCGGATATCGATAACTATATGATCAAATCAGTTTTGTATAAAAAAAATAAATAGTGTTATAGTTAACAGTTGAAAAAAAACTAATCCGATCAGATAGGTATTGATATCCGATCAATATGATTTTTTACAAACATATAATACTCGACGAGTTCTACACATTAACGATTTTGATTAGCAAGACGGGACTCATGGTGGGCCCCATGGGCCGAACAACACTGTCCAATTTATGCCCGAAAAAGAAAGAATCATCTCCTACCCTACTCTCCCACGTTGCCCCCTTACGCATTCCGACCGTACGGCCTATTCCATCAAATTAATCCTTTTTATAACAAACTAATCCTTTTTAAATATTAGTTTTTTTTAAAAAAAACTAATCCTTTTTATCTTCAAAAGGATTAGAAATGACTCAATGTTGATTGCTTTCCTCTCCCAATCTTCTGTTCATGGTTCCTTTTGAAGATAAATTAAAAAAGCTAACAAAAGATGATTCTCTCCCAATCTTAGTGATGGAATAGGTTGTACGGGAACTTAATGTTTAAGTTGAAAAATTAAAAAAACTAAAACATTAAAAAGATGATTCTCTCCCAATTTTAAACATTAAGTTCAACTTGAAGATAAATTAAAAAAAAATTAAACTCAAATATATGGGAATTGTATAACAAACTAACAAAAGATAAATATAAATCGCTAAAAAAATCATCATCTTTTTGCGATGTTTATATCCCAATCTTAATCTTTTTAATTTAAATATTTGCTACCTTTTATTTGAATTTGAATTTTACAGTTAAAAACTAAATAGTTATATATTAATTTTTGTATATGTTTTCATCTCTATTTTTTTTTATTCATATATAAATAGTTATCTTTTTATTTTCATTGAGGTACCCAATTAACTATAAATTTCAATAGTGAAGTAGATAAACCATAATCACAGAAAACATTTATCATATTAGTTTTCTAGGCATGTCACGATTAACAATACAATAAATAATAACTATGTGTCAATATTTTATCATAATTAATAACATAATGTGTCATAATTAAAAATATAATAAATAATAACTATTAATTTAAAAATTATAATTAAAGGTGCATATGTACCATATAATTTCCCTAACAGACTAAGGGGTTGTTTTCGTTGAAAAAAAAAAAAACACTAAAGGGTTGTTTGGAGTGTCTTAAATATTTAAACTAATATTTAAATATTTGTTAAAAAAAACTAATCCTTTTAATCCTTTTTAAAAAAAACTAATCCTTTTGTGATGTTTATATCTCAATCTTAATCTCCCAACTTAAACATTAAAAAAACTAACAAAAGATGATTCTCTCTCCATCTCCTACCCTGTACTCTCCCACGCTGCCCCTTCTCCATGAACAGAAGATTGGGAGAGGAAAGCAATCAACATTAAGTCATTTTTAATCCTTTTTCGATGTCTAAAAATCTCAAAAAATTGCTTTACATTTGAAATATATATTTGCATGAGTTTTTGCATTTGTGAGAAAGTGAGTTTATGTAAATGAATATTATTATTTTATTTTTAAAATTTTTTATTACAATTTGTATTTTTTCTTATTTCTTTCTTTTTGCTAATAATGTGCCATTTAATTGAGATTTTATTCTTTTTTTTAAAAAAAGTGCTACTATTATTAATATATAACTCTCTCACTTATTGACTATTTGTATTTAATTTTTTTTGGTGCAGATGTTAGATTGAAAATGAAGAACACATCAAAATTTATTGGATGTGGATTTATACTTTAAATGTATTCATCAGTTGATTTTTTATTATTGATTATCCCCTTCAAATAACTCATGATTAAATTTATTTTTAGGAACTCATTTCCTTTGAGAACTAAACCACAAATTTCTTTTGAGCAAATGGAAGAGATCTCATGTAAAAATTTTTTTTTTTTGAATAATTTAAATATTTATATTCTTTATGTTTGTCAATTCAAATTTAATGTATTTCCAAACCTTTTTTTATATCTTTTATTTTTATAATCATTCCAAACCTATTTATGTTTAATGAATCAATATAACGAAAAAACAAATAGCATGTAAAAAAATTTTAACCACTAATTGAATATAATGGGAATTAAAATTAACTTTATTTTAATTCATTATACTATGTGGGATGATTAATGTAATATCTACTATTGATTAAACAAAACGACACTCGATCCATAAATCTAAAATTGAATTTTGTGTGGCCAGAGGTCCAAGCGCAAAAATAATTTGGCCATAAGGACAAACTAGATAAAATACCACACTACCTATTATATATATATATACTTTTTGTTGAAAACCAAATCAAACATTTGTTCTCTCTCTCTCTCTCTCTCTTTTCTCCACCAACTGACCTGTCTAGGTCCTTGCTTCATCGTTGTCGTGTGACCACCACCAATGGACCACCACTTTCGTCGCCATCCATATTAGCGTCGTTGGTCTCAGAGTTCACATCGCTCCATTCGACCTATCACCATGGATTCGTGTCCACTCTCAGAGTTTAGGAGTCTTCAGCATTCAATCGGTAACTCTCAAAGTATTGTAGATCCAAAACCCTAGAGTTTGAAGGTACTCTTGTTTCAAAACTTTGCTAGCGATGGACAGTTCCTCTGCCTTGATCCAACCGTCGTTGCCCTAGTAGGGACCATTTTCTTCGATGACACCACCATGCCACCACCAACACATATCGAAGATTGTTGGCCATACAGATCTCAAATTAGAGCATGAAGTATGGTTTTCCTAGTGCGAAAATCTCAGATCTGGGATTTGAAACTCAATGACGCGTACACACACACGCGTACGCATGCGCGCACACATACACATACATATATATACATCTACTATATAACCGGTGCTATACACGGGATAAAATAATATATTATTTTTTCAATAAGATGCATATTATTTACATTCAATCTTTTTTTCATTTTACTGTTGATAAGTAAAGAATTAAATATAAATTTATGAGTTATATATCAATGTAACGCCCCGAAATAAACACAATATACTCATCTCATAACAACCAATAAATAGCAACATAAATGAATTGATAGCTTTCATTAATCAGAATTTGATATACAAAAGGTGACACATGTGATATACATTCCTAAACAGTACATCCTGACTCAACAGCATGTGTTACAAGATTGTGAAAAGAAATGAAAGCTAAATAGATAATTATATGCCCTAAAGGCTTACATCTTTCCAAGTCATTGCTTGAGTACATCAAAAATGAGTCTTAAGCTCACTACAGATAAAACCCTAGGTTTGTACTGTAATGACCCCAAAACATGTGCCATATTTATCAGTAATTAATTATGTGTTTATGCGAATTAATTGAAGAATATCTGTTTGAATTAGAAGAATATCTGTTGAGATGAGAACTTTGGGACTGAAATTGATGACCGTAATGGGTTCAGAAAACGAAATTGAGCACGCTTATGTGATACCAGGAATTTTTAGAGCCATTTGGGACAATAAATTGAAAACTGAATTTCGTCTGATTCGTTAAGCCTTGTTTGGCTCAAGATTATGGCACAATTCTATCTATATGACATATATGTACATATAAATAAGGATGTTGACCATGATTTGACTCAAAACAAAAGAAAGAAAATATCTAAGAGAGAGAGAGAGAGAGAGAGAGTGAATTCGTGGAAGAGAGAAACCATGGAGAAGAAGATAGAAGAAAAGGGGGGAAAACAAGCTAACTTCTCCAATTCACCATCTAAGGTAAGATTTTCATGAAATAGATTGTTGCTTCTTGGCCTCTAGCATGTTGATCTCAAGATTATGGCATAATAGTATGAAGTTCATGGTCAAAATCATGGTTTCCTTGCATGTTTGTCACATTTGAGGGAGAACCTCCACGGATGTAAGAAATGAAGCTAGTATGTGCATGTTCATGGTTTTCTATTTTAATTCAAAGTTTGATCTTGTAAAGGATTCATGTGGGTTGTTTTAAGAGATTTGATGTTTAATTTAAGTTGTTGGTCAAGTGTTTTGAGACTTGGGTTTTATCACTTTGAAGTTGTTTTGGCAAGGAGAAATTGAAGCTCGAGAAGAGTCCAGAATTTCAGATTTTTGTGTGGTCCGCTCGAGCGGAGGGATTCCCGCTCAAGCGTGAAAATCGGCCTCCTAGCAGTTTTGGATTTGTGCAGTCCGCTCGAGCGGACAAAGTGGCGCTCGAGCGGGGGACTTATTTCAAGAAAGTTTGAGAAGTTGAATTACATGATTTTCACATGTCATTTGCATCATTTAGCATCTCATAATCATGAAATAGAGTAAAGAAAGGATTGAACGGCATGAATTAAGTGAATTAATGATACTGTGTATTGAAGAAATGTGTTATATGTTGATAATTGCAGGTCAGGAGGCGAAGACCGTGCAACCGGTTTTGGAAACCCATTGTGAGTAACATTTCTGTAAAGATATGTTAGTATGATCTATGTTTAAAAGTGCTACGTTATGCTATGGTTTTGAAATGATAAATGTTTTCTGTGAACGAATGTCCAGTTTGCGAATCTAGTATGGCATCCATAGATAGTCCTAAGTGGACCAGTTTACGAGATCTCGGTATGTGTTTAATCGGTGTCCGGGACCGGTTACTCTAGTCGTTGGACGACAAATGTTATGTTCTATGGAGTATGCCATTATGTATGTTCTGATATGAGATGATTATGTTTATGGATGATTTATTTTATGGTATATGAATGTGGAATCCGTTCACTACCCCTTTACGTTAATGTTACTTGCTGAGCTTTAGCTCATTGTTTGTATATGTATTTATAGGTGAGCACTCTGGGAGTCAAGCCTAGGCGGAGTCCGAGCCGAGCCGCCGTTTTGAAGCCTACCCGGTGTTTTGGTGCCTCCGAGTTGGGGCTAGGCCTAGGAAGGCCGTTAGGAAGCTTAGTTTTGGTTGTGCATATGGCGTGAGCCTATGTTTTGTACATGAATTTTGATTATATGTGATGTAATGTAGTGGGTAAATTAACATTTTTGGCATGTAATGTATGTTCATATAAATGCACAGCTCTTTGGACTATTAGTGGTTATTGTTTTCGCTTCCGCGAGCCCCTTTTATTTATGTTTTGTATAGCAAGGCCTGTGGTAATCTAGGATTACTGGCCGGTTACGATGCCAACCTTCTCGGGGCGAGTTTGGGGCGTGACAGAGTGGTATCAGAGCGCACGAGTTAATTTACCCACACACGTGTCCATCAGAGCTGTAGGGTGTCATAGAAAAGAAATAGAGCATGGCATACATGTGTGCATGTGTGTGTGTGTTTGAAAGAGAAAGAAACAAGAACTGTAAATGATGAGACAACAGAGGAACTATTATGTTGAGAATGAAATATTCTATCTGCTATGGGTACTAGAGACCAATGGAGAACACTAATGCAAGGAATGTAGATGAGTCAGAATCTTTTAATGCCAGAATAGATCGGTTAGAAAAAATGGTGGAAGCTTTAACTGGGTTGGTGAGACAACAGCAAGAGCAAAACCAACAACAGAGACAACCATTTCCGCCTCCTCCACCACCACCTGTGCAAATGGAACCGATTAATAATGATGATGTTATCACCTTGACACAGAAATACAAGAAACTAAAACCACCAGAATTTGCAGGGGGAATTGAACCATTAAAAGCGGAAGCATGGGTATTAGAAACTGAAAAGATTTTCGAAGTGTTTCCGTGTACAGATGTCTATAAAGTTTTGTTGGCAACATTTACTCTGACAGAAGAAGCTCGAAGATGGTGGATGCTCGTACGAGGTGAGAATAGGGACTTAACATGGGATCGATTCAAAGAGACGTTTTATGAAAAATATTTTCCACAATGTATGCGAGATAGGAAGATATCTGAATTTGAACAGTTGAAGCAAGACACTATGTCAGTAGCAGAATATGAGAGTAAATTTACTGAATTAGCCCGTTATGCTCCTCATATGGTTTATACAGATTACAAGAAGACAAGGAAATTTGAGGGTGGCTTACATGTTGAGGTACTCGATAGGGTGAATGTGTTGAAATTAGAAAAATATGTTGACGTACTTGACAGAGCCTTGATGGCTGAAACAAATATTGCTAACTTGAAAATGTGCAAGCCAACAACAATGACCGAAGCAGAAAGTAAGAAATTCAAGAAACAGAAAGTAGAAACAGTTAGTGAATCCATAGGCTCCGTGAATGAAAATTTGACTTCAAAGTTTAGTGACAACACAAAAAGGGAAAGTGGTGGCAGTGTAGGTGTACCTACTTGTAAGGAATGTGGGAAGCAACATTGGGTTATTTGTCGCCGTGGAACTGGAGTCTGTTTCAAATGTTGACAAAAAGGACATATAGCTAAAGCTTGTCCACAAGTTTACTCAAGAAATGAAAGACCCATTGCTAGTGGAGTTAACTCAACAATGACACCAAAGACAACCGTAACATCTACTCCTGAGGGGAATACATTGAGGCAAGGAAGGATTTTCACCCTAGTTTCAGAAAAGACACAGAATACTGGAAAGGCGAATACAGGTATGATTTTTATTATCTACTGTGATGTTAGCACTGTTTCCTATGCGATGGCTATGTTACTTCTACGATGGAAAATATTGAACATGTGACTGTGACGGAACAAATCATACGTAAATTATGTTAAATTAATTGAAAGTGAACGACATGAAACAAATTGACTATAACTATGATGGAACAAATTTACCTTTGCTATTAATTGTTTAAGGAACGGTTACATCTATGTTACTCCCTTTGAATTGAACGCTATGAAACTTGTTAACAGTAGACTTCGGGTTGAAACCTCAACTACTAGGCGATATATTACCTGTATACATTTTTTGATTGACTACTTACGTGACTTTACAATGGATTTTGGGGAGAAGTGCAAGATATGTTTATTATGTGTTTGACTGCTATCATGCTGAATAACTGAATAGAACCGCCGAGTTAGCCTCTTTGTATGATGATACTTCTGGGTAACTATGGTGAATTGTGAATTGTTGAATGGTTGCGGAATGAATGAAACATCTATGGCGGAAGGATTAATAACATGCGACCAAGATTTCTGATTTAGATTGTGCCAGGATAAGCTAAGTTTGGAGGACCAAACTTCCTAAGGTAGGGAGAATGTAACGGCCCAAAACGCATGTCACAATTATCCTTAATTAATTATGCGATAATATGAATTAATTGGAGAATATTTGTTTGAATTGGAAAAAATATTTGTCGGTTGGGACTACAACTTCGGGACTGAAATTGACGACCATAATGGGTTTGGAAAACGAAATTGAACACGCCTATGTGTTACCGGGAATTTTTAGAGCCATTTGGGAAATTTAATTGAGAACTGATTTTCGTCTGATTCGCTAAGCCATGTTTGGCTCAAGTTTTTGGCACAATTATATATATGATGTATAGATAAAGATAAGGACCCTTGTTTGACTCAACAAAAGTGGAAAATATCTGGGAAAGAGAGAGAGAGGTCGTGAGAAAGGGGGAACAACAGGGAAGAAGAGGAAAGAAAGGGGAATTAAGCCTAAACTTCTCCAATTAATTAATTAAGGTAAGAATCTCTTTCTAATTTCTTGAAAAAAGGTTGATTCACCCATGATCTTATGGTAAGTAAATAGAATGAAGAGGAAATTATGTATAATTGATAGTATTGTGTTGTATTTAACCTAGGATGCATTTTTGAGCATACATGGCATATTATTATGATTAATGTTTATACTTGTCATATTTGGGGAGGAAACTCCATGGACTTGAGAAATGATGCATTTAGGTTTTGTTTAGAAGTTTTGATGTTTAAGTTGAGTTGTTTTCAAGTGCTTGGGCCTTGTTTTCATAAATTTGGTGTTGTTTTTGCAAAGGAGGGAGACCCACAGATTAGCAGAAAATGGGGCTGGTTTTTTACCCAGACCGCTCGAGCGGCCAAACAGTGTTTTGGCTACTGCAGTTCCGCCGCTCGTGCGGCCTGGGCCACCGCATGAGCGGCCAAGCCACCGCACGTGCGGCCAAACAGTGTTTTTCCAATTTTGCTCTTTTGACATTTTCTGACTTCCGGGCCTTCATTTACTTGATTTTCGCATGTCATTTGCATCCATTAGCATCTCGTAAGCATGAAACAAAGTAAAGAAAGAATCGAATGGCATTAACTAATTGATTCGATGGCAAAATGTGTTAAGGAATTGTGTTATAATGTTGGTATTTGTAGGTCAAAACTCGAAGACCGCACAACCAGTTTTGGCAACCCACTGTGAGTAACATTTCCATAAAGTTATGTTGATAAAAATTATGCTTTAACTGTTATTGATACGCTATGTTTTCTCAAAGTGCTATCTTGATTCTGTGAACGAATATCCTGTTTGCGAAACTAGTATGCATCCACGGATAGCAAACTTGAAGATCTCGAGATTTCACTTGCATGAGAAAAATGAGAATTTGATTCTATTTAATGTTTGGAATGGGGATGAGTTTTGAAAAGATTGTAATTACATTTCATTGATAAAGTATGTGAGTTAGAAATCAACGAAAACTTGAACCCACTTTGGTGTCATATGTTATTGCTATTGATGAACCTAGTGCTTAGAATTTTTAGTTTTGATAATTGGTAGGGGATTGCCATGTTGGTATTTAAATGAGGAGATTTTTGGAAAGGTAAGAAAATGTTTGACTTTGGAAGTTTGTTTTATATAAGGAATATTGTTGAATTGTCTTGAAAAGACTAAGTTGGAAGTTGTTGATTTACATGTGGTAAATACATGAACATTGACATTATTATATTATCTCTTGGGATTGTATCATGATATTACATTGATAGGGATATGAAAATTGATCACAATGGAGAATTGTGTGAATGAAATCGGAAATGGAATCATATGAAGGATTATACATTTTGCATTATCATTTTATCAAACCACTATTGAAATTGATTTTTAATCTTGCATTGGAAGGTTATGGTTTTAAAAGAGAAATTGTTTTGTGAAACAAGATCTATTGTTTTGTTTTTGGTAAATACGTGGGTAAGCCTAGATAGGGGGTGTAGTTGGTATTGGTTAAGTTGGCCTGAGTGTCCATGGTGAAAGACCAGAAACCTGCGCAGATAGGTGTTGAGTCTTCCGGTTAATACCGGTAAAAACGACAATTTGGTAGTACTTGTATAGTTTACTTGCAGACACCAGCCTAGGGATTACCTGAGTCGTATTTACCATCTTGGAATTTTATTAAAATTGTTGGATTAATGTGTTTTCAAATTGGCATTGTGCATAATATTTTCAAAAGATGAGAAAAATATTTTGAGCATGACATGGCATATGCATTCTTCTCATAAGACTGTATAAAATGGATTTCATGAATTGTTTAATTATTTAATTCAATTGATAATGAGATAATTGAATGAATTGAAAAGGATGTCTTGTTGCTATTGAAATATATTTATTTATTTAAGTTAACTTGTTGTGGTTAATTAAATAAATTGGATTTAAGAGATTATGTAATAAAATCATATGGTTTTGACATGATATGGTTTCACGTATATGTATGAGTATTTTGGTACCCATATATCTTCTAATGTTTTAATATGAGATTGTTTGGTGAGCTAGTGGTTGCTCATCCCCTGCCTGTACATGTGTACAGGGCATGCTTTTCAGATTTGAAGATCAAAACAATGAGTTTTACCATTTCATAAGTGTAATGTAGTGAGGGATTGTACTACTTCATTTGTTGTTTGGCTGAGTGCTTTTTTTTTTTTGTAAAGAGTAGTGTCCTCTCTTTTATTGTAAGTCTTAGAGCATTTCTTTTATTTGTATGTAAATGTCATTGTTATATAACGAGAGAGAATATGTATATTTAATTATTCATCATTTCATCCGAGGATGAAATGTTATTTGTAAATGGACTTAACTAATGAATATTAGTAATGTTATCCGAGTAATAAAATAAGGGGTGTGACAACTTCACTCTTACTACTCAATTTTAGCTTCACTTAATACTAGGTGGTAAAATGGATGGTAAGTGGTAAGTTGAGTCAGAAAGAGCTGCAAGTAGAATGAGAACGAATGGTAAGTGTTGTGTTTTTGAATGGTAATTAAATTCATTTAAACCACACTTGTTACTCAATAAGATTGCACTTACTACTTTATCAGACTTGACTTACCACTCATTTGAATCAGACTTACTACTCAATGAGACTCTACTTACTACTTTATCAAACTTGACTTATCAGTTATTTAAACAACACTTACTACTCAATAAGACTTTACTTACTATTTTATCAGACTTGACTTAACACTCATTTAAACCACACTTACTACTCAATGAGACTGTACTTACTACTTTATCAGAATCACGCTTTCTACTCAATGAGACTCTACTTATTACTTTATCAAACTTGACTTATCTGTCATTTAAACCACACTTACTAGTCAATGAGGTTGTACTTGCTATTTCATCAGACTTGACTTACTACTCATTTGAATCACACTTATTACTCAATGAGACTCTCCTTACTACTTTATCAGACTTGACTTACCATTCATTTAAGCCACACTTATTACTCAATGAGACTGTACTTACTACTTTATCAAACTTGACTTATCACGGTTCACAAACCGAGGCAAAGCACAAAAGAGGGTTCGGAAGTCCGGAGGCAGGGCTCACGGCCGCAACTCTGAAACTTCTGAACGAACACATTATGCAACATCACCAAGCGCTCAATCAGTGACGTCTGAGTCTTAAGGTCGGTCAAAAATGGGGTGTCTACACTCTCCTTACTACTGTATCAGACTTGACTTACCATTCATTTAAGCCACACTTATTACTCAATGAGACTGTACTTACCACTTTATCAAACTTGACTTATCACTTACTTAAACAATACTTACTACTTATTAAGACTCTACTTACTACTTTATTAGACTTAACTTATCAATTATTTAAAGTAAACTTATGACTACATTTACTATTTCATCAAACTTGATTTTTTTTTTTCTTACCACTTGAATCTCATAATTTTTCTTTTAACTAGGTGAAATGTTGTTCCAACAAAACATAAAAATTTATAAATTCAAAATATAATGGAAGTGAAAGTAAAAGAGAGAGACTTACCTAAGAAGTTCAAAATCAACAACAATTCTATCTTAAAATCTTCAAAAGTTTTAGAAATGAATGTCAAATTTTGTTTATGGAATCCTCAAATGAATTTGAAATTTTCCTATATTTTGTTAATCATATTTCTCATTAATTGCATTTATTGTGGTAGATGAAAAGGATACTAGGTTTCATTTATTGCCATCCATTGCCATTAAGTAGATAAATAAAAAAAATCATA